GGAAAGGCTTTCTGTCTTGGTTTATGAGACAGAGAAGAAAATCAGTGTCTCTACTTCATTCACATCTTTGATTTTTCTCAGTTAAACTAAATATATTCACAGCCCTTGTTCAGGCTTGTCTGCAAATTACTCTGTCAATTTCTAAATGGATGAAAATTACCTGCCAGTAAGATATTCATAAACCTGTCACACAAGCCCTGAGTAATGCCACCTACCTTCAGTTTTGTGGAGAAGTTAAAATGGGATGTGAACAGTTTATGGAAACACATTGTGCCCAAGACCGTCTTCTGCAGATTTTGGTGTTTTAACATTTAAATGAATAATTGCATACAACAAATTCCAAGTATGTGAAAAGCGCATTTGGATTCATATTATTTCTTGTTTTGCTAAGTAACATCAACAATTTCTTTGAGGCTGTAATACTTCCTAATTCTCCTTTTTAAAAGTTTATTAAGGAAAATTTCAAGATAGCTAAAAGTAGAGACGTATAATGAAGTCAATGTACTCATCACCCAGCTTCCATCATTAACAACATAGTCAATTTTGTCTCATATACACTCTTAATCAGTTCCTGTCCCTTACTGCCACAGAATTATATTGAAGCAAATCTTGGACGTCATATTATTCTCTCTTTAAATAATTCAGTATCTATCTGTAACAGGTAAGAGATCTTTTAAAATGTTAACTGAAATATATTTTTCAAACCTAAAAGGAAATAAAATTCCTTAATATCACCAAATACCCACTCAGTCAAAAGATGTACCTGAGTCTGAGAAAAGAAAGTCAACTGTCAAGGAAAACATTACCCTGAAAGATTTAATACACAAAAATGAGCTATTCCCCTGCAAGTAAAAAGAAAACAACAGTCTTTTAAAGCAGAGAACTGGAGGTCTGGGGCTTTAATGTGGGAAATCCAGGAATAGTATGCAAACTCTGTAACATGTGCATACCAACAATTTTTTCTTGGTTGACAGCATTCATCAGAATATCAAGAAGCTTGAGACTGCAAACATTCAAAGACCTCTGCTCTTGGTTATGTTTGTGTGTGCTCAGTGCCACATTGCCAGGAAGGATTAGTCAAGCAGGGAAAACAAATCCACCTAAAATAACTTAGAGATTTAACTGAATTCAACTCAGCAAGGGCTGAGCATACATGAGGTGCAAGACAGTGGGTTACAATTTTGAGAAACAAAGCTAAATTAGTCCTACTTAGTTTATAGTTTAGAAGGAGAAGGGGTCAAGCAGATTAATAACTATTGACAGAATATCATGGAAAACGTACCTGCTTAGATATTCCCATGGGGATCCAGATGAAGAAGCAATGATATGATGTTAATTCAGGGATGGAAGGACACTATGGTTCACGAAGATAGGAAAGAATTAGAGGGTGTCTGTAACTGTACCCATCGACTCCTGTGTAAAGATTTTTACTTATCTTCCTAGCTGACTGAGGGACATGAATAAATTGTTCACTAGTGTCTGTCCTCCCCTCACTGGATAGGGTGGGAGAGGTGATGATGAAAACTGGAGGGAAGAGGTTACATGAAGTACCATTTGAACGATAAGCTGTCCGTCAGCCTGGGGAGGAAAGAGAGACTCAGTGAAGAGGGAAAGGAGGTCATTCCAGGAAGAGAAAAGCAGGAACAAAGGGGTGGAAATTACTGGCATGTTAGGGAACTAGCAGTGAGGTGACCTTAGAGTCAATTGTGTGGGAGCGGTTGGCTGACTGGAAATGCCGGCTGGGACAGAAGTTGGAGTCCTCCATGCCAGAGGAACCCATTGACAGGTTTTAAGTGAATCAGTTCTGTCTTTAGAGACAATGTCTCATCCTTCAGTAGATCATGAGTGCTCAAAGTTTATTGAATTGGTGGAACCTTGAATTAGCTGAGTGGGGTGAAGTGAGAGAAGCAGGCTACTTAGGAATCCATTGCCAACAGACCAGGAAAAGTCTAACGTGGCAGTCATAGAAAAGAGATGAGGGGGCACATATAAGAATTTTGGACACTTCAGAAGTTATTATTTTTAAAAAGGTGAAGAAAGAAACAGAAGAGAGAGACCAAAGCATCACAGAAATTTTATGACACAGTGTGGACCAGTGTCTTGGTTGTATGCTCCCATTCCTGTTAAAAAAAAAATAGTGGAAATACACATGGAAGCTATAAACCCATAAAACATCTCAGGAAGGGTATGAGAGAAATTGGTTGTAGGGCATGGAGAAGGGACTAGAGAAAGAGGTAGGAGAAAGACTTTTGTACCTCTGGCTGGCTGAACCACATGAATGTATTGTTAGTTAAAGGAATGTGTAATTTCCCCCTTAGAAAAGAGTGAAGAAAGAAAAGGTTCTAGAGACAGACATAGGTTCCAGCTCTGGCTCTGATTCGTTCTTACGGTGAGGCTGTAGGCAAATTAACCTATTTTGGTTTCTGTCCTCTTATTTTTATACAGATAAAATTGGCTAATTCCTGGGTCACTATAACAACGATTAAAATAATCCTATACAAAACATCTGGTAGCTATCTGGCACAAACTAAATGCCCAATTAAGTGGTAGCTATTTTATTATCAACAAAACTTCATTGATAGGAATACATTCTTAGAACAAGTTCCTTGATCTCGTCTAAGGTATGCTCATTAGCTAACCTTATTCTTACATTAAATATTTACACTGTACAAAATGATTATTGTAATCCATCTGATGAACACTAACCACTTCATACCTGTTTCTAGAAATTTAAACTTAACAAAAATCTTTATTTGTGTTTTTTGGTAGATGTTAGTTTTTGTTTTTACATGGCATTGACTCTAAATTTAAAGTCATGTACTCAAAAAGGACTAAATACCAACCAGGTGCCATAAGGCACCAAGCAAATAGATAAGTTGCTATCCTCGAGGAACTGACAACCTCAGTGAGACAAACAGGTGTGACCTTCAAGTAACCATGGCCCCAATCTGGCACAAGAGATGGAAATACTGGCAATGAGGTACCCAATTCTGGCCATGCATCTGCTGTAGTATGTTAAATCACATGTTAGAGAGGTTACTTCGTGAGTATTTTCTTAGGTTTGTGGGTCTGCACAATACTGTTTTAAATCATGCGGCAGTAACAGTATTCTGAGGATTACAAAAGATCGGTCATTCTCAAAGCCTTACTACTTGTTGTTTTGAACAGCCACATCATTATTAAAGCATCATCAAACAAAAGTTTCTTTGTTATACATTGAGATGAATAATTTCCAGCCATTTTCATGTGAGATGTTCTGGCTCAAATCTGCCCCAGCCTGTAAAGATGAAGCCTTATAAAAGAAAACAGCTGGGATTTAGGGAAGATTTTTGTTACATACAGGAAATAATGATAAACATCTTTCAGGATTTCAGAAGTGTTGGTAAATGCTTCAAAAAAACAAGTCATAATAAGGCCAGAGGAAAATGCATTGCATTTAATACAGGACCCTGTGGGGAGAAAGAGTGGTGAGGATGCTTTACAAAATCATCTAGATAATTATTCAAATATTTCTCTTTGCAGCAGATGGGTCTTGGGAGAAATATCAATACTAGTCTGTAAAGAAATAACAGTAAAACGTAAACACTAATTTTCAAAGAAGCTTTCATTGATGCTGTAAGTATGTTTCAGATGCGTGCCCTGGAATGAACCGAGTTCATATTAGCAAGCAAGTCTTGTTTCTCAGCCACAGGGGGGTATACACTTGTATTTACCCCCTAGTTGCCTATGGTTGAAGCTTGGGGCCACATATTATAGTTGAATGAAGATTGGATTAAGAAGCTAATCCAAGGCTATATATAGACAGCAACGCCAGTTTAATCTCCGCCCCCTTCCCCTCCACTCCCTATTTCCATAAATCTCAAAATCTGAGTTACAAAGAGGCTGGGAACTCTAGCAGAGCGAAAAGGCCCGTCCTCCCCTTCCCCCCAGGCCATCTCTAATAAACGAAGTATAAGGGCAAGTGTAAATTGCTTCCAAAAATCCTTAACAGGCACCATAGGGCGATCAGATCCGGCTTTTTTTTACAGCTTCCACAGGGGCCAGAGATGACAAGTCGTGTTTGTGTGCTGGGGAGAGGATGGGAGTGTTTAGAGTCTCGCCAAAAGAGAACCACATTCTTCCGAGACTCTCCTCAGGCGTTCACCTTGCTAGTAATCGGGGGCTCGCCTCCTCAGCCCACTCACTTCTCGCGCAGAGCCCCAGCCCCGGCCTTCCCGGGAGCCGCAAGTGGCTGTGCCACGCACGAGACGATGTGCACCCGCCACTTTCCACCGCGTGGCCCGCCTCCGCCCGCTCGCGGTCCCGGTGTCTCCCCGGGCAGCCACATGCAGCGAGTGGCGCGGCTTCACTCGGGGGCACTGATCTGCGGTGAAAGTGATGGTAACGAGGCGGAGGAGAGGCTTCCCCGCCGAGAGGCAGGAAGCCACCGCGGCAGGCACATGCTTCCTCCAGGCCAGCTCCCGCCCGGGTGGAGCGCACGGCGCGGGGACTGCCGCGGTTCCTGCCGCCCTCCCGGCTCCCCCGGTCCCACCTGGGTCGCGTCTCACCTGTCCGAGGAGGGAGCGGCGACGCGCGAGGCTGGAGGCTGCGGCGATTCCGGCAGCGGTGGCAGCAGCGGCGGTAGCGACGGCGGCAGACAATGGAGGAGTGAAGGACAGACACATTGACATCGACACACGGAGCCCGGCGCAGCCCCGCCTCCCGCGCCTCCCCGCCTCCCAGCCCGCCCCCGGCCGGGCCGCGTCACTCCCGGAGACGTGAAGGGGTGTTGCGCGAGCCGGGGAGCTTTGCATGCCCCGAGCAGCCGTCCCTAGACATAGCACTTCCATACAGAGAATTTAAATACTGCGTGTCCCTAAATACCTGAGCCTGACAGGATAAGTCAGGGGAGAGAGTAAGAGGAATTAGGGGCCCGCCCTCTGTTTCTCTCCATTTGGTTTGTCCTTCCCAGGCTCTCCAATGGGTGTCTCTCGAGGCTGCTCCTGCAGCTCCTCCTCCCCTCCGGGCCAGTGAGGCGCGGGGGGCGGTGACTGCTGCTGGGCTTGCGGGGACCGCCGCCCGGCTCGCCCGAGCTCGCCCGCTGCTCGCCAGCCTGCAGAAGGGGGAATTCGAACGCTTCCGCAGCTGGCTGCTCAGTGGCCTCGTGTCAAGTTGCCCCACTGCGACTGGCCTTCCTAACACAGACACGTCCTCTCTTTTTAATACTTTCAAAGAAACAATAACCTTCAAGCTGGCGGGAGCAATGGTTCACTTAAAGAAAGGCGAGCTGACCCAGGAAGAAAAGGCGCTTCTGGAAGTAATCGGGAAAGGTACGGTGCTGGGCTGCTACGGGGCGCTGCCAGCCTTGCCGGGGGGCGTGGCGGAGCCGGCAGGCACCCCTAGCCCGGCTGACCCCTGTCTGCGGTTTTGCGAGGTTGAACAGGGGAATTAGCGTTTCTGCCTTTGGTCTGGGACCGGTTGCGGGGACGGAGAGGTGGCGAGGGGGGAGTACTGCTGGGACAAGAGAAGAGCTTGCAGAGGTTCATCTAACTCAGTTTTTGGAAAAGTACACATTTTCAGGCCCTACCCCGAATTATGAGGGAGCCCGTTGTGTGTTTCCCAGGATGTGCATTTTTCAGGACAACTAAGGTGATTTTGACCACTGTCCACCTTGGCAGCAGGTGGCCTGGTAGTTTGAAGTTCTTAGACGGGTGTCCAAAGGGCTGTTTCGACTTCCGGAGGCCGAAAGATGTGGATCCTTTGGCTGTGCCCGCCCCCTCTTGCGGGTGGGGGGAGCTCCTAAGGAGAAGGGTTCTTTATAAGGGTACAGAAAGCGGTCTGTAATTTGCTGCATTGAGGCTGCTGCGTCCAGGCCTTCCTGGCTTCCTTCTACAAGCCCCTGGGCCCCGCAGGAACCGCAGAGAAGCTTAGAGGTTGGCGAGGCTTGCACACCCCTGGGCGCACTTAGTGCCGCTGCGAGCTTCTAACCGCTCTTCACGCTTTCCCTTGCACTCTCCCACCGGGTGTCCCACTTCCGCCGCTCTGGGCTGCAAGGAGGGAGACGCAGGCCCCGGGAACAGCCAGAGGCCATGTTTTCCCCAAAGTCCCTGAGTGGACGTCCCAGAAGAGTTCCCTGCTAAGTCCCGTTACTTGGCAGGTGACATCAGCGTGACTATGTAACTTCTACAGCAGCGTCACGGGCGCGGGGATGAGGATACGTGGGACTGCGGGCATGGTTGATATGGTTCTTTGAAAAAGCTCAAGAATGACATAGCCATGTCTGCCTTCGAATGGCAGAGGGTCCAGTCATTTGGAGCATAAAGGCTTTCCAGTTTCTAGTTTTCTATCTAAATAGCGAGACTCAGATCTGGACCCCACAGACGTTAAGGTAAATTTATTCTTCATACTGACAAGGAAAGTTGAAATGTAAAGGAGAAAAAAAATCGGATTTGGACTCAGCAAGTGCTGATGACAGCCCACCCATCTGAACTCAGCAATTATAAGTCAGTCACAGCTGTATTTGACATGATAAGTGTTCTTTGCTCAGCCTTGTGGGACTCTGAGTTGGTGTTTTTATTGTTCATTCTTCATGGTTCTTGCACACCTGTCAAGGCAATTTTTCAGTTCTGCCGCTTTCTGGGTAATTTCTCCCTGCCTCTGGTGGCTCTGGGATTCAATTCTGCAAGTATGTGTGTCCCAATTGTGTGCTAGGTACTGTGCTTGGCAAAAGGAGACAAAGGATCAACTCAGATTCCACCAAGGATGCAATTCTGTTTTTAAACAGTCCAGAGCTATCACATTCTCTCAAAAATGTAAGTCAGGGAGCAGTTTGATAAAGTGAGTTGGCTGAAATGGGCAGGTGGTCAGTGGCAGGGGGATCCTTCATATATTATTAGGTATCCACCAGTTTTTATTCTATGGATTAAATGAAAGAGAATGAATATGAACTTAGTGTGGTTAATGCTAGTATTTCTATACCCACATCGTGCATTTGTGCAGATACTGTTTCCCCAATTTAACTGGCCCAAAAAGATGATACAAGAATGAAGATGGATTTAGTATGTGATACATTCTTGTCAAGTGAAGGTCTGTGGGACACACTATATATCCTTAAAGAGTAGTAATGGGAGATAGGAGAAAATAACTATAGCTAAAGCTTTATTGAATGTTATTATGAGCTAGACGTGATTAGCACTTTCCATGTCTTATGCCTTTGATCTTTATTAGGAAATATTTTAAGCCACAACATTATGAGACAGCAGGAGATGGTGGCTAACCATGCAGGTCTGATTTGGAATCCCATCTCAGTTCATTAGCTGGTGATGTGGCCTTGTGCACATGATGGTTTCAGAGCTTCAGGTTCTCTGGGTGAAAAATGGTATCCACTTCACAACATCGTTGTGAGGGTGAAATGAGTCAGTATACGTAAAACATATAAAATACTGTTCATGTGGGCTATTGTGGTAAATATAGTAGTAATCTCTACTTCACATACAAGGTAACTGAGGAACTGAGAAGTTAGATGACTTGCCCAATGTCACACAGGTAATAAGTGCAGAGATTTTATATGGCCATAGTCTTCGAAATATGCTGGACTGAAAACAAGCTAAACTAACAAGCAACAATGAAACCAGCACATAGCAATCCAGAACATATTCACTTTGAGAGGCTATTTAATTTCAGTAAAAACATTGTCATCTCTCAATTAATTTCAGTTTTAAATGGTTGATTTTGTAGGTTTGTGTGCGTTGAATTTATGAAATAATTTTGGTTTATTGAGTAGAAGTCATAAGCAAAGTTTATATTTGTAATCATAAGAAGTGTTTTTTTCTTAAGCATGTGAGTGGAGTTCTTAATTTTTTTTCCTTTGGGACATTCCTCAACTCTGAGAAACATTAACAATAAATTTTCTGCCACATGTGGCTGTTATCTTGGCCAGTCTGAGAGAAACTCAGCAAATTTTTGAGTGTCTCCCTTCTGCCAGTCACTCACTGCCTCCAGAAGTTAACAGACTATAAATGGGATTTATAATCTAGAGAATACTACACATTACTTCTGGGCACTTTTAGAACACTCTTCTTCTGAGTGAATTCACATGGCATGTATTATATGGATGGTATATTTGTTAGCAAGCTAAGAAGTTCCAGATGAAAGAAGCTGTTTCCTACATACCCATTTAAATTGCAGTTAATGACAGCACCCATTTCACAATATTTAAGAAGAGAAAATTGAAAAACTGAAGCATATTTAGCTGGTTTATATTACTTGTAGATTGACCCTTTCTCCTAAGTTCTGGTATCTATTTCATTAAGCCCTGAGGAAGCATTATTTCAAAATAAATGACCCCTTCTTCCACTAAGTTTAAGTACCTGAAATTCCTGAGATCACTGTTGCTGACTTAACAAGAAAGTTTTGTACTCACTATTTTCTTGTCTTTCATTATGTGTGCGAAAGGAGCTATAAGACAGGCTCGGACAATAAGATTTATTCAACCAATTTTATTGAAGCATAATTAAAACACAATCAATGGTGCATATTTAAAGTATATTCCAGACCTTCTATAGTTTCCTACTAATGCTGTTAATTAGGAAGGTCAAATTAAAAATTGACACAAGATTTTGCTCTTCTATTTTCCAAAATTTGTCTTCATTTGCTAGAAGCTCAAACTGTTGCAGAAAAAAATCCTCATCCTGGTCCCTGCATTTCAAAAGGCTAACTGGTATTCAGTGGTATGTGTGTACATGCCTCATCTTTTATTTATTTATTTGTAATTGCTCCCAGATGAGACAGATTTAACTTACATTGTTGGCCACTGGGCTAAACCTTTTATAGAATTATTGGCTTGTTTTCTAAAGTGAGCCAAATGTTTGTGATTGTAATCCCCATCTTCCTAACATGTAGCAAGCTTTGACATGCTCACAATCCCTATAGAATTCTTGCTTTACTGCATAAACATCGCTTGATCATATGGAAAATAACTTCAGTTATTCCACAGTGGATAATAGGATTGAGCTGAAGCACCTCCTGCAAGTGAAATTGGTGTGGGGGAAGTTTTTGCTGTTTTAATTCCTCTGTAAAGATGTTTGAGAAAGTCTTTCTAGAGAAGCCACAGATGGGGGTAAGGTTCCATGTAGAACAAGCTAACAGGCTCATTCTGTAGCCATTCAGCCAGTGATACCATATGCCCTTAGATGGAGTACAGGTTCAGAAAAATATGCTGTTTACAAAATAGCTGCTGTTATAATGAAGGGACTTGTATATCACTCATTTGACAATTCTCAGCAGAGCTAGTTCTCTGTCAGTCTAGGAGACATTTATCTGTCTCTGGTTGGTGAGGGGCAACTAGATGACTTGCCTAGGGAGCAGGTCAATCTTTATTTGAGAAGCATGCCCATCTTTATTCTGCATTCCACCTTTAGCTCTAGAAGACTAGCAGATTTTAGCACATTCTTTTACTATAATTTTGAATTTGAAGAAATACTCCCAGTTGAAGCCTGCTCCTATTTTATGTCCTTTCAGAGAAGAGGCTTATCTCATTCTTTGTCCCTGAGAACATTGAATTTCATTGTTCTCTTCCCTGTCCAACCAAAAATTTTTTGGCAGAATGTGCAGCTGACTCTTATTAAGGTGAATAATAGCAACATTTTCTTCTGCAATTACTTGCTTTTGTCACCGTGCCTTACAGAAGACTGGAAAAACCTGACAGGTATGGCCTAATTACAGCTTATTTCCAAATTTACAGAGGACGTACCTTCAGAGGTCTCTCAATGCGGAAGTCTGAATACTGACCATAGGGCTCTTTTGTATAGTACCAGGCTTTAAAGATACAGTTACCTAAACATTTCCTAACTATGAATTCTCTTATAAGCATCATTGATTCACCGGGCCTAATGGTGACAAAGTATATAAATATGTGCTCTATTTTGAACTACAATTATAAAATTGACTGCAATTTAAGCTGGTTGGACTAGGTACCCTGTAAGATTTGTTTCAATATTAGGAGTCTTATTTATGCTTTGTGCTTATTTTATTACTGCCAAAAGGAAAATTTAATATACTCTAAGGTCAGTGGAAGTAAAAACAAGATGGAGCTATTTTAGTTTGGATAAATCTGTTCTTCTACATAATTACTCTGTGGAATAGATAGTATGTGATTGATGCTTTATTTCTTAACAACCTAACCTGACTATTCTTAGTGTTACTGATATGCCTTTAAAGTTTGTTTCCTTGATATCTTTTTTTATTTTCTAATGATAATCTTACTTTGTATTTTTTTTTTTTTAAGGTACTGTCCAAGAAGCTGGAACACTATTAGCCAGCAAAAATGTTCGTGTCAACTGTTTGGATGAGGTAAAATTATAAAAAGTTGAATGAAAGGCTTTACTTCCTATGAGAATAGACAGCATATAAAATCTAATAGTTGTTTTCTAGCAATTTGTGCTTAAGTTTTTCAAATCTCTAAAACAAATATAAGTAGACAGGTCACAAAAGACAGCAATGCATGTTTAATTTCTTAAATTATCAAATAAGTGTAAATTAAACCAAAATCATATCTCTTTCTGTGAAGTGTGGGAACCATTGGACTATTTATGTGGATTAGGTATAAATTAGCATCACATTCTGGAGAAAATTTTAGAATATATGTCATTAGAAATGTGTGTACCTTTGATCCAGCAATTCTACTTCTAGGGAAAGTTAAATGAACCTAGAGTCAACTTTCTATAACAATTGCTGTCCAGAATAACTTTCTGAGATGATGGTAATGTCTATTCTGAGCTGCCTAGTATCAGCCATTAGCTATATGTAGCTTGTGACTACTCTGTTATACAGCACAGTTCTAGTGCTAGAGAGTTAACTGAACTTCAATTTCTCATGCAGAAGGGGAAGGGATTTTGTTAACCCTTTGCCCACACATGAGGAGCAAAATTAATAGCAGATAAAATAATGGTTAAAGCAAAGAAAAAAAAAATAAGATGAAGTCTATTTCTCACAGATTAAATTAATAATCCCCCCAAAACATACCAGTTTTAAGCCTTTACTTATAAGCTTAGAAGATTTGACATTTGTTAATAAAAAAAGAATTCAAAGGAGAAATTTGTAAGACCGCAGCAGCACCTTTCAGCACCTTTCAAAGTAATTCAGGGAACAGAAAATTTGAATAACCTAATTAATAGTCTATGGACTATGTATAGGAGAAAAAAATAGTACATCTCCTTTTTATATGGAACATTGATAAAAATTAGTCCATATACTATGGCATTTTATAAAGGAAGTTTTAGCTAATTGTAAGCAAGTTCATCAAATGCAGTAGACTATATTGAAAATAAACAAGAATACAATCCAAATAATAAAACATACAACCTGAAATTGTTTTAAATTCTAAATAATTCTTGTTTAAAAGAAATACAAGTAGAAATTGCCTACTGTCTAGAATAAACACAATATTTATCAAAACCTACCCTTTATCAAAAACTGTGTTATGTGACCAAAGTGATATTCAGAGGAAATTTTGTAGCATTTGTTATTGGACTTAAGAGTAAGGTACACTCACAGCACAAAGAAATAAAAGGCATCCAGATTGGTAAGGAAGAAGTTAAACTGTCACTGTTTGCAGATTACATGATATTGTACATAAAAAACCCTAAAGAATCCACTCCAAAACTATGAGAACTAATATCTGAATTCAGCAAAGTTGTACGACACAAAATTAATACATAGAAACCTGTTGCATTCCTATATAATAACAATGAACTAGCAGAAAGAAAAATTAGGAAAACAATTTCATTCACAATTGCATCAAAAAAATAAAATACCTACGAATAAACCTAAGCAAGGAAATGAAAGACCTATACCCTGAAAACTACAAGATACTCTTGAGAGAAATTAAAGAGGACACTAATAAATGGAAATTCATCCCATGCTCTTGGGTAGGAAGAATTAATATTGTCAAAATGGCCATCCTGCCTAAAGCAATCTACAGATTCAATGCAATCCCGATCAAAATACCAACAGCATTCTTCAAAAAACTAGAACAAGTAGTTCTGAGATTCATACGGAACTACAAAAGACCCCAAATAGCCAAAGCAGTGCTGAGAAGAAAGAATAAAGCTGGGGGGATTATGCTCCCCAACTTCAAGCTCTACTACAAAGCCACAGTAATCAAGACAATTTGGTACTGGCATAAGAACAGACCCATAGATCAATGGAACAGAATAGAGAGCCTGGATATAAACCCACACATATATGGCCAATTAATACATGATAAAGGAGCCATGGCTATACAATGGGGGAAAGATAGCCTCTTCAACAGCTCTTGTTGGCAAAACTGAAAAGCTGCATGTAAGAGAATGAAAGTGGATTACTGTCTAACTCCATATACAAAAGTAAACTCAAATCAAAGACCTGAATGTAAGTCATGAAACATAAAACTCATAGAAGAAAATATAGGCAAAACTCTCTTGCATATAAACATGAGCAACTTTTTCATGAACATACCTCCTCAGGCAAGGGAAACAAAAGCAAAAATGAACAAGTGGGACTATATCAAACTAAAAAGCTTCTGTACAGCAAAGGACACCATCAGTAGAACAAAAAGGCATCCTACATTATGGGAGAATATATTCATAAATGACATATCTGATAAGGGTTGACATCCAAAATATATAAAGAGCTCATGTGCCTCCACAACCAAAAAGCAAATAACCTGATTAAAAAATGGGTGGATGATCTGAATAGACACTTCTCCAAAGAAGAAATTCAGATGTCCAACAGGCACATGAAAAGATGCTCCACATCACTAATCATCAGAGAAATGCAAATTAAAATCACAATGAGATATCACCTCACACCAGTTAGGATGGCCAACATAGAAAAGACGAACAACAACAAATGCTGGTTGGTGAGGATGCAGAGAAAGAGGGACCCTCCTACACTGGCGGTGGGAATGTAAATTAGTTCAACCATTGTGGAAAGCAGTATGGAGGTTCCTCAAAAAACTAAAAATAGAAATACCATGTGACCCAGGAATTCTACTACTAGGTATTTACCCTAAGAAAACAGGATCACAGATTCAAAAAGACATATGCACCCCTGTGTTTATCACAGCACTATTTATAATAACCAAGAAATAGAAGCAACCTAAGTGTCCTTCAGTAGATGAATGGATAAAGAAGATGTGGTACATATACACGATGGAATATTATTCAGTCCTAAGAAGAAAACAAATCCTACCATTTCCAACAACATGGATGGGGCTAGAGGGTATTATGCTCAGTGAAATAAGCCAGGTGGAGAAAGACAAGTACCAAATGATTTCACTCATTTGTGAAGTATAACAACAAAGCAAAAACTGAAGGAACAAAACAGCAGCAGACTCACAGAACCCAAGAATGGACTAACAGTTACCAAAGGGAAAGGGACTGGGGAGGGTGGGTGGGAAGGGAGGGATAAGGGGATTAAGGGGCATTATGATTAGCACACATAATATAGGGGGGTGGCACAGGGAAGGAAGTATAGCAGAGAAGACAAGTAGTGACTCTATAGCATCTTACTATGCTTATGGACAGTGACTGTAATGGAGTATATGGTGGGGACTTGATAAGGTGAATCTAGTAACTGCCATGTTGCTCATGTGAAACCTGAGCATAAGATTATATATCAATGATACCTTAATAAGAAAAAAAGAAGAAATGACTTAAGGAAAATAGAATAGAAATAAAAAAGTTTAAAAGCTATCAAGCTCAAGCAATACAAGAAAAAATAAAGACAAAGTTAAAATTAAATATGTCTGTGCTTCAACGCACACCGTTAAGACAGTGAAAAAATAGTCCACAGAATTGTTTTACAAAGCATATCTGATAAGGGGCTTGTAACTAGAACATATTAAAAATTCTTACAGCTCAATAATAAAAGAAGACAAATAATCCTGTTAAAAAACAGGCAAAGATCTGAATAGATACTGCTTTAAAGAAGATATGCAAATAACCAATAGGCCCATGAAGAAACGCTCAATATTCATTTGCCAGGGAAATGCAGATCAAAACCATAATGAGCTTAGGATGACATAGTAGAAAAGATAGTAACAAGTAGTGATGATCATGTGGAGAAATTGGAGTCCTCATACATTGCTGGTGGGAATGTAAAATGATGTAGCTGTTACTGGAAAACAGATTGGCAATTACTAAAGTAATTGAATGTAGAGTTACCAATATGACTCAGCCATCCTAGGTATATACTTAAGAAAAATAAAACATCTGTGAACACAGCAACTTGCACATCAATGTTTATAGCAGCATTATTCTTAATAGCCAAAGGTGGAATAACTTTCTGTCCCTCAACTGAGTGGGTAAACAGAATATAGTATATTCATACAATGGAATACTATTTAGTCATAAAAAGGAATGGTGCATCGATATTTGCTTCAATGTTATGAACCTTATAAAACATTTTACCAAGTGAAAGAAGCAGTCATAGGAGACCGAGTATTACATGATTCCTTTTATAGAATATGTCCAAATAGGCAATTCCATAGAGATAAAAAATTAGATTATTGGTTGCTTAGGTTCTGGAAAAGGGAGAAGGGGAATGGAATGACTGCTAATGGGTATGGAGTTTCTCTTAGGGGTGACAAAAATATTCTAAACTTAATTGTAGTGATAGTTGTACAGCTCCGTGAATATATTAAAAGTTTAGTTGTATACATTACATGGATGAATTGTATGGTGTGTGTATTATCTCAGTAAAACTGTTAAAAAAGAAAGAAAACATAGTTATCTATTTAAGATAAAAATACTAAATGCAACATGGAAAGTATAGCAAGAAAATCATATGTATAAACACCAAGAAACTAAGAGAGAACATAGCTTCAATTATAAAGGAGAGTGTTGTAACTTTTTTGTTTAAGCCAATACGTTTGAAAACCCATAGGAAAGTAGTAACTTCCTAGAAAAATTAAAGTGCTTATGTTCATCTCATACGGAAGTAGAAAAACATGATTAAGGAAAAATTGGGTAAATGTATTTAAATGCCTACCACCTTGTAAAGCTGCAAATCTGAGTAAGCTTTACAAAACCTTTAAGGATGAGTTAATTCTCATTTTATACTGATTGTACCGTTTTTTCATAAAAAGATGGGAAGGTACTTTATCACCACTACTTTGTCACCTCTACTAAAATTTAAGCACCAGGGACCTAGACTGGATGGGCATAGAATGTCTTCATTGCTATCCACAGTGCATAGATCTGTGTCTGACATACATTAGGCACTCAATGAATATTTGCTAAATGAATGAATGCTGTATTTAATAATATAGAATTATAACATAATAGGCTAATATTGATGAGTTCTTGAAGAATTATGGCCAAGAAACATTAGTTATTTTTAGGGTCATTGTATCTAAAGAATTGTAGCAGCTTGTTTGATAAGACTTCTTCCAAGGTTGTCTGGGGGCAATGACAAGAAGGTGAAAATTTTTACTTTTGAATTTCATTAAATCTAAAATGTCACAGATTTTAAGGCTTATTCAGATTTCAGAGATATTGAAAAATGTGGGGGAGTGGAAATGATGGTCATTTGGAAGATTCTAGTATTTGTAAAGCACAACTCAATTTCAGAGAAGTTAAAATATGAAAATGAAATGCTTAAAACTGATGAATTATATATAATAGTAGGGTAACATTTTATGAAATTTATTACTGTGTTCCTAATTTAAGCCCAGATGCACATTAGGTATATTATTTTTCTAACAGATACAAAGTTATTCTGTATTTATAACTAGAACATGACATTTTAATTTCATTTAACTAATTTCTTTTTTAAACATTTTAAACCAATTAAATATTTTAAATACTCTAGTTGTGGGATAGGTTTACTGGGTGACTGACTGCCTTCCTGTACTGTGTCCTTCCTCCCTGCCAGGCTGCACACTAGCTTTTTATGTACAGATTATATTATCCATAGGGACTGTAAACTCTGCGGGTTAGGGTGGGGGAGTTATATTTTCCCAGCCTGGGGCAAAATACCTTTGAAACTGAAATCAGTCAAAGGGAGAAATGAAGTGGGAGAAACCGGTTTATTGTTTAAAAGCAGTTATCCACTTCTCCCCTGTGTCTGCAAAACAGGACCCCACCCAACCTCTAAGGCCCAGGTCTTCCCTTGCTCCCCACTAATCACCTATTGATATGGAAATGTTACTTCTCTCCACTCCTTGGATATGCCTATTGATATGGAGATGCGTAAGGCCAGGGAAGAGATTCTGGAAATATTGCAAATTTACTCACACCTGTCAAGAAATTAAATTAGGTTCCTTGTACACATAAAGTTGGATAATTCATTGGATATGCACAGAACATACAGAGACTAAACAATGCAGCCTAGTATAAATACTACTAACCATTCGTCCAAATGCATATAATCATATGTAATTATCAAAATATAAATATAGTTTAGGGAACCACTGTTTTAAAATGATAGTACAGTACACATTTCCTGCGTCTTGTTTTTCTCATTGGCAGTAATTCATGTCAGTGTCTCCAAATCAGTAGATATGAAAGGGCAAGCTCCCAGATTCTATTTTAGCCAATTGAGACCCGGATCCTACCTCAGTCAATTGGGACCCAGATCCTATTTCACCCAATTGGAGCTTGGTCTCTCTCCCCTCCAGTCAGCAAGAAGTACACCCACCACCCCTAGACCCTGCCAATTGACCAAAGCCATGACTCATCACCCCCCAACTACCCCCAGGCCCAGCCAATCAGCCAGGGCCACGGCGATCACCCACCAAACCGCCCTGGAAACCCATAAAACCTTTGTTCTGGGGAAAACGCGCTCTCTTTCTCTGGTATCTTGCCACTGCGTTGGTGTAGATGAGAGATTGAGCTCGAGCTAGCTCGAATAAAGGCTCTTTGCTTTTGCATTGGTGTTGGCTCCTTGGTGGTCTTCTGGGATTTGAGACTTTGGGCACAACATTTGGGGGCTCATCCAGGATCCCAGAGACCCCCCAGGACCCCCAACCCGGAGAGCCCTGTGCCAGCTAGTGAGTGCACTCAGTTATCTGTCTGTCTGTGTCTCACTGTTTTTGTTTGTGAACAAGCCTATATAAGCCTGTAGGAGCTCCAATCTGTATCAGGGTCGGCATTGACTTAGGCAGACGCACTGGCAGGTCATCAAACAGGGGTCTTGGGAGACGTCCCTTGCCCCTGTCTGGAGGACGAGGTCCTCATCTGTGAGGAAAGTCAGCTGCTGCTGCAGTCCAACAGGCCCTCAACTTACTTTCAGGTTTGCCGCCGTGGCAGATTCTTCTCTGTAGGCGCCTGTTTGTTTGTCGTGTTTGTCTTAAGTCTTGTTGACAGAAGAAATGGGACAGACTCAGACGACCCCCTTCTCTCTCATGACAGACCATTTTTCTCAGACTTTAGGGAGAGAGCTCACAATCTGAGCACGGATGTCAGGGAAAATTTCATGTTTTCTGCACCTCCGAGTGGCCATCCTTTAACATTCGCTGGCTGCTGGAGGGAACATTTAATCCAACCACTCTTTTACAGGTTAAAGATATCAGGGAAAGAGCTAACAACCTCAGTGTGGAAGTCCAGAAGGGTCGGTGGCACACTTTTTGTTCTAGCGAGTAGCCAGTTTGCAATGTCGGATGGCTGCCAGAGGGAACCTTATCATTATGTCTCAGTCTGTATGTTTGTGTGTCTAAGTGTGTAAATGAAAATATCTTTCTACCTCTGGATGGTATTAATGAAATTGATTTAAAGACAAGCGCTTGTGAAAATTGGACATTCTAAAACTTCCAGAAAATCTGATAAAAAATGTTAAGCATTAATGCTAATTTGGGTTTGGCTGAGGCGTGCATGTCCTTATAGTTATCAGCTGCCAAAGTTTACTTAAAGTCATTTAAGTTGATGTTACCTGTTAAACATTTCAAGAAGAGGCTTAAAGAAAAGCTTGACTTTGTCTAATGTTTAGTAAAAGTTTTCTAAGTAATCTAGCATGGTTGCTAAAAATAGGTAAACAAGTGTAGCAAATAAGCATCTTAATAATAATATTGTATTAATGTATAACAGTGTGTATATATGCAAACAGCCTTAGAATTTTTGTGGTAACCAAAATTTTTAAAGTTTGCTAAGTTATATAGACATATTTTGTGCCTAATAAAAAATTGTAAAGCACATTTCCAAAAATGATAATACATGTTCATAGATGTATCAATCTGAAGAATGCTAGTGCAACAGTTTACCGTGGCCTATTTTTCAGTGTTCACTGAAAGTTAAAGTATCAAATGATTTTAAGTTCTAATGAAAACTACTTAAATAAGGAAAACATTTCTCTATGCTAAAAGATGTATGTTTTAATAAGAGAAGGTATAAAGAATGAAAACTCGTCTGCATGCT